CGCTTTTACCGTGGTGGAATAGAAAGGCAGGAAGATACTAGAAAATATCATAAATTTTTAACAGATCGGGATAGGCTAATCGGAGAAGAATTATTACGTCGCAGTATACTAAAAAGTGGTTTAAGTACTGCATGGCTAGATGATCTGATGAAAGAATGGGAAGAAATCCATACTCAATTTGTACAAATTTTTAACCAGATATAGAAGTTTTCTACATATATCGGGACACATTCATTTTTTTTCTAGCAAAATGATCGGCACACGTGATTTTACTTTATTGTAATTTAGCTTTTCTGCAATTAAATATATTATTTATTATCACAGATATATATAGCATCCTTGATCAATGGCTCTAGCAAGACTATTTAATATATTATCTCGTTCTAGATTAATTGAATTTGATGATGCTTCGATATAATTACTGAATGCAGAATAAAAATCTGTTTCGTCTAATGTATGACTCAAAGAGTAGTCTCTAAAGGACCTGGTTATAGCTATCCCATTTTGTCCACCGGTAAAGATTGGAATAAGTGGAGGTAAATCAGAATCGGAGAATTCATCATCTGAATAATCTGGATGTTCGATTTTAATTTTTGAATTAAGTTTTTTCATCACTTCATTACTAATCCTTCTACATCCCTTCAAACTAAGATATTTCAAATTAGTACAGTTGCGGGCTATTTCCTCGACAGCTTTATTATCAATCGAACAATAGCCAAGCTCAAGATGTATAAGTTTTGGACACGAGTGAGTAATTTCAGTGATACATAGATTAGTGAGACATCTACATGAATTAAGACTTAAGTGTATTAATTTCAGACAAAATTTTGCAATTACTATAATTGGTATGTTAGAGAAACCATCACTTCGATCAAGAATGAGAATACGTATATCTGGACATGAGCGTAGAATCGCACTAATCAACGCATCTTTGATTTTTAAACCTTCCAATCTGAGATATATCATCTTGGCGCAATAGATTGGCTTTATCTTTCCACACATGACTTTTTTAAAATTTATCAATTGCCGAGTAAGAACTCGAGGCATCTTACGACCATGCCGACCTCTCTGATAATCTTTTTCTGTAAAAAACTCAATGCGTCGCCATAGAATAGGAGCACCGCAGTGATACCAAAAGTGGTTGACGAATAAAGTAGGATAGAGTGCTTTATTCTCGGCTAAGAAACTGAATATGTTTTCAAGTAACTCTGGTA